TTTGTTTCTGCATATTTTTTTGTATTAAATTTACTGTTTACATAAAAACTCAAAGTTAAACAAAATTAATGATATTTAATAATTTTATGGTAAAGTTAAGTTATGGTTGGCTATAATATCAATAAATGAATAAGATTAAGCTGTTTTTTTAAACGTTTATGCATTTATTAATAATTTACGCCAAACATTCAGATACAGCAAATGCTGCATTTCAGATACTTAAAGTTACCATAGCAATTTTGTTTTCGGGGAATAATTGTTACTTTTGCTTTTATTTAAATAAACGGGGGTGTGCGATAGACTTACCTCCACGTGGTGCACCCTGGGCAACGTATACTCATACGGCAAAAAGGTCTATTAACCGGCAGTTGACTTCTGACTTCAAACTACTACAGCCCCACTGGATGCCGTATTCTACCATTTCCACAGTAATCATCCTACCTTGTCTCTGCCTTTGTGTCAGTCTCTTTTACAACTGAAAATCACTCTTCTGTTCCCCATCCCTCGACTTTCTGTTACTTTGATGTTCCTTCCCCCTGTGAAGCCCGAAGTCAGCTAAAGGGCTAATGATGACTATCAAAACGCCTGCCATTTGAAATAAATAAATATTTAAAAAACGTGAAGCGACCGTTATTGCACCAAAAAATGCGTTGACTTAGGAAGTCAACTACGTGGGAGGCACTACTAATCTGAATTGGATAACGCCGCATGAAATTTATTAAATTAAATGCTATTTATACGTAAAAATTACCAAGTATGCTCACTTATTTTAGAATGATAAGGCTATATACTTGCTTTGATTTGAATCAAGTTGTAAACTAGTTCAACACGTGCTGGTTAATCTGAGGCGAAGTTTTGGGGAACTCTCACACACTCTTCGAAACAAAATTTTAAAATGTGGAATTTTCAGGCTTCCCACCTTACCCATTAGACATTCCAACTCTCAATAGTGACAGGTGATACCGTGGCTGGAAGCAGATAAACAATAAATTAAAATATGGCAGTTTTGTCAGATGCGAATGTTTTGTTTAGCGTAGATATCGGGTTGAATGACGCTAGAATTTTGGTTCACTTGCAAACACACACTGGAAGGGCCAGAATGAAAGAATGTGAAAAAAATGAACTCGTTTAAAACCAAAAACGAAAATTTGACAACGTTTATTTTGTTCTATTATTTTCTTTTGATTTGACATTCGAAAATTCCATTTTCTTAACTAAATCATGGCGCAATATTGGCACATTCAAATTTCTAATACAGCAAGCCAAATTTATGCAATACAGTATATATAGCCCTAAAAAGTGGAAATCTATAAATTTCATGATGAAATTCATATAAATATGTATGCTTCACCTACTCAATGTTGGGGTTTTAAGCCTGCGCTATCTGAGGTTTACTCTTAACAATCCGCTTTAATATAAATTTGGGTCTAATAACTGTTGAGCAGTAACACACAATGTACTCCTTTCGATAATTGTGTATTCCACAGATGTATCTATAATAGCATAAGTACTTAATAAGATTGATTGACTGGTAGCTAAAAGTGATAAATTGGTAGATCCATTGTTTTCTTTTCTTTTTCTCAATTACACCCAGGTCATGTTATAGAGTAGTTGTGAAATGGGAAGATTTCATAACTTAGAACGAAAAAAAATTAAAAACGTCATTGTCAAGTTTACAAATAATAAGTTTAAATTAAGTTTGAAAAACCTGAGTATTCTGACTCACTGTCTGGGTGACCAATGAAGTTGGGTTTTGAACTCACTACTGTTATGAAACAAAATTCACCTGAGGGAGGTTGTTTAACAAACGTGTCACACATTCTCTGTTCTATTCTAGACTGTGCACCTCCCACCTTTCTTCAAGCTTCACGATGAAGTTGTAAAGTCATAAAACCCAAGGTCATTCTGATCGTGAGAACTAACGAGGAGTTTGTGTTGCGGTTTGGGAGGCTAGTTGGACGGGGTTATGATTAACCTGGACACTGACTGCGTAGAATTGACGTGAAATCAATTTGAGTAGTGGTTTTAACTTAGCGCAGTTATTTGCCGCAGTAGAACACAACGCCCAAAGAAACGACTAAATAAATAAGCGCCAATAAGATGGACTGTCAATTTATTAAATTATCATTACGAATTGCTCAAATTAAATTCAAACTTTCACCAAAAATAAAGTTATTAATTAGACAAAGTCATGTGGAATTCATGAGGATAAATTTTTAATCAGGTGACTAAAGGTTGTATGCAACAATTAGTTAATGAAGAAGAGGAAAAATGCATTAGCTAAAAAATAATTCCGAGCGAGTTTATAGATTAGCTGATCGTGTGATAAAATTTCAAGGAATTTCATTGGCTTATTTGCTTCTGAGTGCGCCGATTCCTAGCGAAGATTTATAAATTCAAAAATCAATATTGCAGCCAATCAAAAGAGGTAATTACTCATATATACTGACAATTAGTGATTTTGGTTTTGAAACATTATCTCTATGTCAGTGACACGCAGTTCATTGTACACTTCTGCTATGCCAAAGGCCACGAGATCAATCCTCATTGGCGTCCAATCTATTTTTGATGAGGATGCATAACCTTTATGTGCTCATGTTGACAAACCTCTCCCAGGTTTAAAAATAGCTAATATTACCAGCAAGATATGTTTTATAAGCTAAGGGATATTTGTATCGGCAATCACTGATTTTGAATAAGAGTAAAAATGTCAGGATTCGTTATATGGAATGAAAAATTCTACACATTTGGCAAATATGATAAATCCTGTGCAAATTCACTTAGATTAATGGAAATAAAGATAAAGTTTTAGAAAAGTGGTTTTTTGGCTTGTTTTTCTTAATTAGATTAGGGAAAGTAGTCACGGTTTCTATCTAAAGTAATTTATATCAAAATGCTTCTTCGCACGACTAAAGCTATTTCAAAGACGAAAATGAGTGTACTTTAACTCCGTTTCCCCTATGTACTTTGGAGTGGGAGAATTAATAAACACACGTAGTGATTAGTTTGAAAACAATAGTTTATTGATCTTTTTTCTAATGCCTGAAGTAATCGGAGATTTCTTTCACTGTAGAGAGGCTGCTTAAAGAAAGGGCATGTTTAAGATACGAAACTAATATATCAATTAAGCTTAGTTATTCAAGCTAACATAGCAACCAGAAAATCCTAATAAAAATGCTTAAAAATACCGAAATCTCAAAGAAGGAAGCGATTGGATTTTAGATTTTAATTTATTTTAAATTGTATGTAACTAAAACATTACAATACGTTGGTTAAATATGATATCTATCATTTAATCAGAGATTTCGTGAAAAACGCAAAACATTTATCAATTAATGAATTTAAAAACCATCAAAGTTTCATATATGTTCTTAATATTTATATAGTATGATCTTAACTAATTAAAACTTATTATTTCAACTTTAAAAGCACAAAAACGGGTAATAAAGGCAAAGGTTCATATAAAAGAATAGAAACGTACATCAATTGTGAAGGCCTGTTCAACACCTTCAAGCATAAGCACAGAGCATTGAACCTCTTTGCCTGAAGGTTTGTATTCAATTGCCTTAGATTTTCGGTAACCACTTGTTGCATCGTACACATTGGTACTGTTATTTATCGCAAAGTGGGAACCAGGTGAACTAGCACTGGTTCGACGAAGACTTTTATAGTAATCTTGTTTAGGTAGAGTGTCTGTTATCTCAATTGTTCCATCAGGAAGTGTGGCTTTGCTTTGAAAAGCAGCCCCATTCTATATAATGATTAAATTTATATAAAATAAATAACATGTGAAGAGTATCAATATTGACAATACTTCGACTTTATTGACGCAGACGTAAGTAGACATGAATTTCGTTAAAATTGTGCAAGTTCATATTAAAATATTTTATTGAATAATTTTTAAGCGAATCGATTATTCTCGATTATACTAAGCCCTAAGCATAAAAGTACCTTTTCGTGATAATTATTATTTAAAACGCAAATATACCTTGGAAATTACAGTACCATCCATTTTATTCCACAAATTTAACTATTTCCTTCAACGGCAAACAGGCGTCAGATTCTTATAGGTGGAATTGTGAGCACTTTGAATTTTTAGTCAGCGTCAAGGACAAATATTCAACCCGTTAAAAGGAAAACTCTTTCAACATGTTAATTTAAAGTCTAAACTAATAATTATCAAAATTCTTTCATTTAATTAAATGAAGTTACTTTTAACCCACAAATTTTTACATGTTTCATATTTTCATATTTATACCATTTTTACTCATCAATTAAATCAAATATTGAGTCGGTGTATCGCTTAAAAACACTCGTCGTTGCCTTTCCAGGTTTGTAGCTACTTTTATACTCATCTTTACGCAAGTTAAAATTTGCTACCAGGCCACCCCATCGTTGTAATTATTTTTATTTTATAATACCAGTTTCTTATTTAATTTTGCAAGATAAAATTACACAAAATTCTGTAACAGTTTATTTCATGTATTGACTTCGAATTTTTTATGAATGTGATAAAATTTGATTTATTCCCCAATGTCCGTTAAAATATCCGACCATTGTCAGTAACTGAACATAAAACTTTGTGTTAGCCATGATTGATGAGAAGACTTCTTCGGTTCTATAAGTATTCAATAATTTTCTTCATTGGATTGCTTTAGTAGTGCCTCTCAATAAAAATATTACGCATACCTCTTTTCAATCTTCTTCATTTACAAAGTAAAGCAGATTTCTATAAGGGAATTTGATCAAAAGATTTTCCTATGAGAAAAAACTAAAGGTAAATGTTAATTTTTCATCAGCCTTAAGAAACTTGAGTTTATTAGAAGCTGATAAAAGAGTACCATTTGCTACCTTGTTAACAGTGAAATAGGTATTGAATTTTACCTATTATGCTTACTGAAGATGTACATCAGGAAGTTACGATATATCTTTTTGGACATGATTAATATGGTTTAGATGCATATTACCTTTAACTAAAAGAGGTATTATAGAGGCAGGTTAATGGAAGCGATACCTTTTCTAAATAAGCCATTTATATGTACGATTGATTTTTAGTAGATATTACACAAAATAGGCCCTCACTAAACCTTAATAATAAACTTTGAAGTTAATATGGCTTCATCCAAGCACAAATACGAGAACAAAACTCTCTGCTCCAATCTGGCCCCAACACTATTTCAGTTCCATTCAAAGGGATAAGAACCCAACAGGCAAGGTGTAGAGTAAGTTCAATGAAAACACGTGATAAATGTCAATATAATTCACTCTATGCATCCGGTATATTGACTGCTGTTTGGCTATGTGACTTCTATACATATTTCTCCGCTTGCTCAATATGCAATCAGAAGTACCACCGTGCCCTCCAAAATATCCTAGTGCCTCCTAGCTTTGTGAATTTGTACCCGTGATGTGATATATGTCATGGATATTGCTTAGATATCTTGACTGAATAAACCTGCTACCAAACTATATATGCCTTTGTATGAAAATTATTTTCGTCTCAATATATCATATAACTCTAAATTCGCTTGAAATATTTATTAAAATAGGCTATCTAAGTAATAAAAATGTTTTCTTTGCAGCTTTCAACTTAAAAACAAAGAGAATATTCATTCCTCATTTAATTCAATAGTCATTTCAACACCTTCAAGGCGATGGTATTGTAGCAAATTGGTACACTAGTAGGGCCTTAACTAATTCAGAAATCTCTTAATGGGTATTCTCTCGAAACCGGTTGTTACCACAAATAGTAGAAGACACACGTGTAATAATAAAAACACGCCTATTCACACAAGCAGTGATATTCAGCATGGCTGCAGCACCGAGGCTTCTGATTGGCCTCTGGTTGTACGGTTGTCTGCGCGTGAGTGCTTGCGATGGCGTGTCCCCACAATACTCCCCTCCTAGTGTTTTTGAAAGAACCTAAAGGAGAGTAAAAAATGCTCGAAAGGATAAAATTGGCGAATCGAGATGAAAAGGAGACCTTTCGGCCGAAACGAGTACGATAGGAAACGGGTTGAGAAGGTACAGGGGTTGGCTCCGAGGAGGATTCGCTAACGGGATGTAGGGGATGGGGTGGTGAAGGCGGGGATACAGTACTCTCTGTCGGTGGGGTCGAAGAGTGTGATCCAACTGAGGTCTTAGCAGCAGTCTAAAGTTCCAGATAAGCAGGTTTCAATCTGTCGATACTAACGGCATCTTTGGTGACATTACGATTGAGGATGAAGTATTTGGGTTTTCGATAGAGGACTTTATACGATCCGTCTTACGATGGCTGAAAGGGTTTCTTCACGGCATCCACACAGACAAAAACGAAGGGGGAAGTGGATAAGTTCTTGGGAATATGAGTGGGCTTGGCGGAAGAACGGGCAAGTGTAGGGAAAACAGATGGGAAATGTTCTTTAAGGCAGGAGCTATACGAGAAAGGGTCTACGAAGGACCTGTCCTGGGTGATCGAAATCATCTCTCTAGGAAGCCTTAGCGTTATACCGAGTACGAGCTCCGCTGGACAATATCAAAGATCTTCCATAACAGTATTTCTTATTGAAAAAAGGATGATGGGAAGGAACTCCTCCCAACGTAAATGGAGGAAATGGCGATAATTATGGATTTAAGTTGCCGGTAGAAACGTTCGACGAGTCCATTGGCTTCCGGATGGCAAGCGGAAGTGTGTACAGGAATTGAGCCCAAGAGTCGGGTTAACTCGCGAAATAAATCAGAGGTAAACTCCGAACCCCTGTCTGTAGTGATGACAGAAGGAATGTCAAATACGGATATCCAAGACTCTACCAAGGCTTTAGCCACCGATGCAAACGAGGTATCCCGCAAAGGGACGGCGATAGGCCAACGAGTGAAGCGATCAATGAAAGAGTCTGATGGAGGAAAGGGACCTATGATATCGATGTGAATGTGTCGGAAACATGCCTCGGGAAGAAGGAAGCTGGAAGGTTGGCTCTTGGTGTGTTTGTGGACCTTACTGGTTTGGCACTGGAGACAATTTTTGGCTCACAGGCGAACGTCCTGTCACATAATCTTCCAGAAGAAACGGTCAGTGATCAACTTCGTGGTGGAACGAATGCTGAGGTGTGAAAAACCATGGAAATGGTTTGTAAATCTTCCGGCGATGTGCTTGCGGGACAAAAGGCCTCGGCTTATCGGTTGAAACGTCACAGTGGGTAAGTGTTTCGGAGTCCGGTAGGAATAAGCGTAGGGTTAGTCGTGATCTCCATAAACTCCGGATCGGACTTTTGTTCGGACGCCAGGGCTTGCAGATCGAGATGACAGATTTGATTCAATTCCCTCCGGGACATCGTATCGGTAACCACGTTGCTAGCGTCGTTAATACGCCGTATATCGTTTGTGGATTGAGCATCTGAAAAGGTGATAATGAGATGAGGCGAGATCAGGCGACTTTGTGGGCTACAATAGAACACCTCAATTTACTTCTCGAAGGTCATTCATAATTTGTTTGTGACTGAGCCAATTCTTTTCTGTTGAGTAAATTTGTACGTTTATTTTATAATTTTTGGTTTAGTCTGCATTATTGATGACAACGAGAATCTTCGACTTTAATGAATAGTTCTCTCCGTTTAAGCTATTCGTAGTGGATTATTTCATGTATATTCCACCAAATAGATGGAAGAACTTTACCAAGGATCAAGCATTGCTTGACCTAGGGGATGGAATGATGTTTGACTAGGAGACAATCATTGATTTTCCCACTAACGTTGATGTTACTTTGCCACTTCAGCAAAGAGAGGCAGTGCATCTCCACTCATTTGTCCTATAATGAGAGAGCTGGTGGGGTGGCATCAAAATTCTTATCCTTTTAAATTTACTCCTTCTCTTCAAGTGGAACTGACTAGTTGGCAATGAGCATAGGGGTTCTATCATTGATTCTTCAGTAGTTGACTGAGGATTCGATTCAATCAGGAACTTTTATGCGCCATCAACAAGATTTGTGACTCATTCACATATTGGTGCAGCATTTAAATTACTACCGCCCAATTTAAGCATTATAAACCAAAATTTAAAATGGCAATAAATTTCAGCATTGTCCTTTGCAGTTTCGTACTGTCTAAGGTGTTGCTTAAGCAATAAACTGAAATTCATTGCCTATAAATAATTTTGAAAGATTTGTTTAAGAAGAATACTTTAAGAGTGATTTACCTCACTGTGGTTAGACATAAATTGTACTCAAACATCTGTATCTAAGGTGTAACATCTAGTTTCGTTACTCATCATATCCGATCCGGGACAACGGAAGAATGCTATTTGACTTCAAGGGGGAAAAAAAGTGCTCGAATTGATAATGAAAAGAATTTTCCCAATTATGCTTATCAATTAATTTCTTAGCTATTGTTTAGGCACCAGTATAATTTGAGCTTAATACCGTTTGTGAGTAATTAACTTATTAGGATAGCGAAGGTGGAATGGTTATTTTTTCTTTGAATCTGTTACTTTTCATTGGCACTAATTGATCGTCTTGTTTTACGGTTCCTCAACGCTTGACAATGCGATCTTGCTAGGCAATCACAATTCCCTGTATTATGAACTGCATACCCACAAAGTTGGAAGGAGGTAATGATGATCGTGGAATACCATTATTAGGAAAGGCCCTGGTGAAAGTTGTAAAAATGAATGAATGTAGCAGAAAACATGGTTAGATAGGTGAGGAAACGTGAACACGCCTCAAAGCCTCATCAAATTCCTTATATTTCGATTAAATTTTAAATAATATTCCCGAGGTTATTCGCTTTTTATAACTCAAATCTTCTGCTGAGGAGTAGCCGTATAAAGTTCCTTTTGCGTAAAATTCGAGCTCTGTTGCTCCCCTCTTTACTAGGTCTAACCCGGTTCACTTGTCCATTTTGCTCACTGGAGATACACTGATGCAAATGGAACCTCTGACTGCGCTATGTACCACTCTAACTACCGACAAACGCAGATGAGAATAATAACTTGACTAGGGATACTAAGAAGGTAACCCATCACGAGAACCTCATGATACCTCAGCCGTCTTGTTGACCGGAATTAGTTAAGGTTACTGGTAGCACATTGATCTTATGTTCTCAGATTTGGTAATGAATGCAAGTTGCGCAGCAAATGCACTTTCGATACCCTTTAAATGAGGAAGGTATATGGTTAGGAGCTTTCGTGATTGAAGATATTCTGGTTCACTAACTACCACCAAGTAAAAAGTAATTCAATGCTTTACTCGTTTTTGTAGACGTTGAAATATGCCGAAATATTTGGCTCAACTTAAAATTTACAATTCAGATGGCTTTTTTCATCAAATTCACCAAACTGTATGAAACTGTATCCACTTATAATCCTGCACTTACTCACTCACAAAGAACTGTTAATATATTTCTTTCATCAAATATCAAATGTCATTATTCCTGTTGGAAGAAACCATATTCTTATTAAATATATATTCATAATTAAAATGAATAAAGAGATCACTCTCCTCAATTATAATATTTTATTTAGTAGAGCCTTGATCAAAATTATCCTGAGAATATTTATAAAATTAGAAGCACAAAAAACCTCCTAAATATAAATTGATTCAAAAAACTATATGACTTGGAAACGGAATTTATTTTAAATATTTTCATTCAAAAATAATCGTGAATGAGATTTAAGTCATATTTAAGTTGAAAGCGATTCATTCGGAATGCCAAACTAGCACGAAAAATCACATATTAATTAATATCGATGTGAACCTGTTCTCACGATAACAAATTACCTCTATTCTGATTGGCCGTCTGTCTACGTGAGTAGTGATTGGTGGTTACGTGCTAGAACGAGTCACACTGAAGTAATCCTTTGCCAGATTAAGAGTTATAGACCAACAATAAAGGCAGCAGAAGCAATACTAGCAAAAAATGGGTGGACACGCTGATAATAGTGGATTTCCCCCAAATGTATCCTTAGTCAACCATCTCTCACATGCTGGTCTCCTTCCTAGCCATATTTATCTTGGAGTCTGTTTCTTCATTCTTGGAGCGTGGTGGCTTTCAGCAGTTCTTCGCAAGCAGAATCATCGGAGTAGAAAAAGTGAAAGTCACCTCTCTTTTGCAGGCAATTGTGGACCATGTTCAAGCAAGATGTTTGAAGGAATCGTTAAAATTGTTGCTTGCATTGTTGGTTGTGTTATTGAGGCAATTACAGTTAAAGCTTTGGGTCGGGCCAGGAATTACACCTATGAAACTGTTTACGCTAGCTTTATGCTAGCTGCTTTTGTCGATATCTTCCAGGGTCTACGAGTTGTCCTTCCCGAAGGAATTGACTACTTGACTCACGCAGTAGCCTTCGCTAATCTCGCAATTCTGGCTAGGTCTCAGTCTTGGGGGCATCTTCATTTAACCGTGTCTACTCGAATGCTTACATCATATATTGCACTATTCGCAACTTTAGCGTTGTTAATGGAACTCTATAAACCAAAATCACAAATTCTTAAATTTATCAGAACGGGTACTGTTATGCTTCAAGGAGTGTGGTTCTGGCAGTCTGGAATCGTTCTTGACTCACGATTCGCTGAAAGGTGGACTGAAGAAGACCACGCCAATCTGATGTTCATCACCATTGCCTTCTCTTGGAATATGTGTGGAGTCGTCCTCTTCCATGTCTTCTATGCTGTTATAATGGGAAAAATTTTCGGTAGAAATGATTCTGAAGGCCCAAGGTCACGTTATTTAGAAAATACTGCAAATACCGCGAAGGAGTCTGCCAATCCTGAGTCAATAAATGATTACAAACCTCTTCAACAGAGTGATGCGTCATTTGATCTCACTGATTCCAATGAACAGTCGTAATTCACTAACACTGGGATCTTCATACAAATAGACTTCACCAAGGCTACTCATTGTCAGGAGTTTTAATTTGACATCAATCTAATTTAACTGTTTTAGTGTCAACCACACTACTAACCACTCGACTGTTGATAACTATTCGCACTATTCTGCTACGCAACTATTCCCCACAATATCATATTATATCCTACAAAAAAAGCCGTAAAGCACTTGAAGCAGATGTTTCTACAATTATGCCATCTACATTTGTTTCATTGGTAACCCACATTCGTTCTTAATATTTTTTGAGTCGCATTTAGAAAGGACTTTTAGAAAAGTAAGAAAATGATGTATAAAAAGTCAATATTTTAAAGATTAGTAATTTTTTACAGAAATAAGAAGAATAAATTATGAATAGCGGAAATGCTTACTAGTGCTTATGCAACACAATTTTTGCATTTTTTATGCACTTATGAGATGACTAATGAGTCGGTAACACTGGAGTTCTTCGGGTATTTGCATATTCAAGAAAATGCCAAAATATCTTCCGACTGTGTAGTTTAAAAAAACCGGCTGCGTAAGAAGAAAAAGTGTTGAGAATCATTGCAGAACTATCTGATTACATCAGCTCAAAAATCATCAAGAATTTCCTAGCAATTCCCAAGGTGATGGAGGGTTACAATGAAGACACATCCGACTGAAGAATTGGCCTATGAACAATAATCTTTGACTTTAAATCACGTTTTAAAAATGGCCTTTCTAGGCTCCTTCTGAATAAACAGGTTGGCAAATAGGTAAACCATTTTTGTTTCGATAATAAAGCAAATCGTTAATTATATTAACTGGGTATTATAATTAGTTATATTTTTAAATATAATGCAAAACGGCAAAAAATCAGTATATAGAACCTTTTATTTTGTGAATTGAACTAAGATAACTACCTGTTTGTTTATTGTCGAAGTGACTCGAATTTCTTTGTTTTCTTCTGCAAAATAAGCCATTTCATTTGGACATTGACTAGGAGTACTTAAAATACCATTGTGATCACTAATGCCACGCAGACCTGCTGTTCCCGTTGCTGGGCAACTATTTTGTAAGCATTATGGTGTTTTCCGAACACAGGCCACTAGGACTTCACCAAATATTTCTTGGTTTACATTTCTCGTACTTTTACGAGAAAAAAAAAAAATACAATTTTTGCTATGGAAATACCAGAAAAAACCTAATCAACAAGGCTTGGTAGAAATATCTCACTGGACCTAATTCAGAAATTAAAAAAATTATTATTTTGTATTATATTTAAGAAATGCTATGTTATTTATGCTTGATTACCCAAATAGCATGCTATGAGGTTATATAGAAAACACCTCTGTCATAGTTGACTGTCAGAATTACCCTATTGTGTGCCCGTTTCTCAATAGAGCAGATTAGAAATGACCCAATTTAGCATTCACTGCAAGAGAACAAGGCAATTAGCGCTTTCTAAATGGCCTCTTCGTGTTGAAAAGTAATTTCTTGTTTTTATTGGCTTGCATATGATTTTTCCATCGTGTTTATATAAAAATTGGACCAACACATTTTCACATTAAAAGGCAACTATTCGGAATGATATGATTTTTTTCAAATAATATTAAACATCGAGAATGCAACCCGAATTTAAAAACTCTTGTGCCCTATGTGTTGAAATTTTTTTGAAATCTTCAGTTGTAGTGAGTGCATAGAATTTGTAGGCCCAATTCGGCTAAAGCGTCGAATACATTACCAAAGCTATGGGGACTGCGTTTAATTGAATTATTCAATATATTACCAATTGTTTATTTATTTATTTATAACAAACGGCAGGCGTTTTGATAGCTATCATTGGCCCCTTAGTTGACTTTGGGCTTCACAGAAGGGAGGAGGAACATCAATGTGAGGAGAATTCGGGAGGGGGAACAGAAGAGTGTTTCACAGATGTAAAAGAAACAGACAGACATAAAGGCTCAGAAAGGGTAAGATGAGTACTGTAGTAGGGGTCGAATATGACATACAGTGGGGGTGATGGTAGTTTGAAGTCAGAAGTCAACTGCCAGTTTATAGACTTTTTTTACCATATGAGTATACGTTGCCCAGGCTGCACCACGTGGAGGTAAGTCTATCCCACACCCCATATTACCAATTGTAGGGAATGGTTCAATTTGCTTAAATTTCAAAAGCATGGAGATTGAATTTCTCTGCGTGTAGAAAGAAGAGAGTGCTGCTATCACGGAACCATCGAACCTTTTGACAGAAGCGCTTGTCGGTCAATCTTCAAAATTCACTTTTGAATATTTTAGAAAAGTTTACAATATAACACAACTCGCTTGATTAATAATGCCCTTGTGTATATCTGAATACCACATGCACGAATTCACCCAGAACTCGAAGAACAAGCAGTGAAAATTATGTTTCAAACGTTCACAGTTAAAGCTCTTATTACAAATCTGACTATCCAATGTTTCAAGAATTCTAAAAGATATCCTGATTTTAGTCAATGCTCTTTAGTGAATCCCCTACTGCGACTTTAATGGGCAACATCATCATAAAGGCTTATGAAGGCAAGATTTAGAGAGGTGAGGTGGGGTTTGGGGTGGGAGTTCGGAGTGGTGGGTGACAGGAGGTGGTATATGGAGAGAATTCATGTTTATAATGAAGGATTTCAAAATTAATTTCTTCTCACAAAAGTTTCAGCTCAGTTCAGTTAAACACTCTCAGGCTTTTACTCATGTATTTCTAGGTGGGCATATGCACACGATTTTATCGGATTTTTAAACACCTAGTTTAACCATGCCATGTCGCTCTAGTTCACAAACATCTTCCTCCTGATATTAACTGCAAATTTCAAGGAGGTGAGATCTTACGAATTATTCTTGAAAATACTTTATACAATTCTTCATTTGCCTTTCAAATGTCTAAGCAATTAACGGTCCCTATTTAAAGTTAGAAAGAAGCACGCGATGTTGCCTCAGGCATAATGACTTACTCTTTTTTTCAGAACTCATTTTCTCGCTTTAATTTTAAAAATCAAAGCATACTTTGAAGAAATCACATCTTTGGTGCTGAAGCAATTTGAAATAAGTTAGTTCGCGTTCGCAAATTAAGAGCCTTGGAGCACGCACTAATTCTTGCAATTACAGAATGGTGTGCAGAAGTACCTAACGGGCCCTGTCTCTGTTCACCAATCCAATTGCAAATAAGCTAGAGTTCCAATACCTGTTAATTTAGTGAGTGGGTTACAAAATTTTTTACTGTTGTATAACTGTTTCAGTACCTTTAAATGGAAACATGAATTGGTGAATTCTGTCACATAGAGGCAATATTTACTATCTTGACAATAACGGGCCATTTTCAAGGTGAATATTAGTGTTCGCGCCTATCCTGATATTGTTGACCATACTTCATTGTGTTTCACAATTTCAAATCTCAAGCATTGATTGAAAATTTAAGTACTTTCCATTTTGAATAACAGGGACTAATTGCTTATTCATTGAACCTCTAGAGCTGATAATTTTGTAAAGGCAAACATCTTTTACTTAAAAAATGATCAATTAATTTCGAGCCTTCAGATCTGAGGCCTTTCAATCATGTACTAATGATTTTTAGAGGGCACTGAGCAGAATAAAATCGTATGTCTAAGATTGAAAATATATTGATCTAGAGTATGAAATGAAAGTTAAGAGTTAAGGCAGATTTTTTTATTTTAAAGAGCAAGGACTTATTGAGGGTATTATATGTATAAAATTTTACCCCAAAGTTAATTAGGCTATAACAAAAGTAACAAGAAAGTTGATTGCATGGAGAGAAAAGCGCTTATTGCAAATTATGTTAAGTACCCTATTGAAACTAAGGTCACATTGATTGAATAGTAATCGCTGATTGGCTGAAAAGGTCTCGTCAAGTGCAACCACACTTGCGGTCGATAACACATTTCTGGGTATTCTAACACACGAGGTCACTTTGGTAGCCTTCGAGAAGGCTGTATATACGGCGGCGTATACTCATATGGTAAAGAAGTCTATAAACCGTCAGTTGACTTATGACTTCAAACTACCGTGACCCCACTGTATGTCATATTCGATCCCTACCGCAGTACTCACCTCACCTTTTCTATGAATTTATGTCTGCTTGTCTGTCTCCTTTACATCTGTGAATCACTATTCTGTTCCATCTCTCTACTCTTTGCGACTTTGATGTTTCTCCACTCTGCGAAGCCCGAAGCCAACTAAAGGGTTATTAATAACTATCATAAAGCCAGCCATTGGATATAACTAAATGTTACTAAAATTTGTAAATACCAAAATGGGACACGTGCTTTTGGCTTTACACTGTATCAATATGTATTCGTTTCACAGTAATGTTGCCATATTGGGACTTTTATGAACGACAAAATCACTTATTGATATTAAACCGATTATATAAATGCCCTGGATGAACTCGGATTATGGATCTCGCTCATCTCTTGGGGTGCCATCTTATAAGATCATTTTCCCCTCTCAATAACTTGAATAGAAACAATTTCAACCATCCCATTTTGATTTAATAATACTTTCAATAGTCATTCATCATCGTAGACAAATATTCATTTGAAGCCATTGTACTAAAGGAGGAATTTTGAATTTTGACCTTCCAAAGACGTAATAAATGAAATAACAATTGACTAATGAAATGGTCATGGGTTCATAATTATCTAGCTGCACCATAAGTGGCAGTAATCTCCAAGGTCAATTAGAAGAACGCTTTCCAGCGCTCATTTTCGATTAAGAGTCTGTAAAATTGGGCCCATTTGTGTGAACCTTGATTTCTGTCGGCTCATTAACTCCCCAGGTGTGGTGGCAAATAACAAATAAATGAAAATTCTTTGAAGAGGCTTGCTTTTAGGTGACACATGTACATTTTAAATGCTGACCAGTGAATTCCTTGATAATTTAATGATTTACTTCGGACGCTAGATTGATCAAATGTGCAGATTATAAGAATCGTTTAAGTGTCGAAATGACTAATATTTCATATTATGTTTACGGAGCGGAGCGAAAAACGAGATTTTAACATTTTGACACTAAACTATAGGAATTTCTGAATAGCACTTCGCCTTTGTAACCTTTACTGTTTGATAATAAGTAGCCGTAATTGGAGTAGTTTATAAGTCTTAAGAGACCAGCTAAATTAGAAAGAGGCATCAGTACTGAGGGAGAACGGTCTGAATTGTAAGAAGTGGGTTAAATAAAGTGGAATAGGACGATTGGCAATTTTTTCGATAGTTGTCGTTGTTTAGCAACTGACAGGAATGCCAGAGGTAGGAGGCAGTATACAAACAACATGGAGACAGCAGACACATGATTCAGAGCGGGAATTTATTATTCAATATTTTTGCTTTTGTTTTTATGACCTTCATGGTTTGGGACATTTTAACGAATTCCGGTCCAATGAAGACGAAATTTGTTAGCGTAAACATGACAATTGATCACAAATTTTAACCTTGTTATATTTTTATATTTGCATAACTGTAAAAGTTTTCACGGCTTTACTGTTTACATAATTTTCTCTCTTGTTTATTATGAAATTATTTCGAAATAGCAGTTAACAACGTTTGAAAATGTGAGCGAAATTGCTCCATATACATTTAAACTTACAAATCTTTGACATAGTCCACTAATTAACGTTACTTGCAATTTCGGTATATATTTGCACTCAAGTCAAGGTAATACGAGCATGGAGAATTGAAGAGGATTATGTTTTAAAAAATTGGAGAACTCACAAAGCCACAATAACAGTGCTGACCGTATATGTATAAAAATGTATTAATAATACTTCACCCAGACCGAAAAGCGACTGTGGATTGAAATCAAACCCATGCAAATGATTTGTTAAGTGCAAAACAGAATCATATCTAGGTAAATAGGAGCACTTTTAAACAAAAGGCACAATGTGTAGAACTCAATAGAAATCAATTCAACCTATCGCACGCTTTATTGTAGTATTGTGTACTATTGTGATAAGATTGTAAAATTTAACTTGGATTAAAACAATGTTGGACAAACTCCAACGGAGCCACTTGCGCACATTCCCTAACAAATTTAAACCACCTAAAAAATAATTGAAATAAAATTTTCTGGAAACAATTATATTAGAAAATTGCTTACTGATGTTGATTTCATCAATGCCGGCTTTAATTTAAATTTATTTTGTGAGATATTAATCTTTGAAATTGAAGAGAAATATGTTCTCAATTTCCTTACTATGCAAACAGGATTCGCACGAACGACTTATCATAGCGATCAGTTTGCACAGATCACAAACTGTTCTATTTTTATAAGTCCTGAACATGATGTTTTGCCATTGAAATGGGAACATTCGCACTCGTTTTCAATAATAATGAAAGTAAGATGAACAAAACGCTAAAATTTATGTACAAAATTAGATCAATTGTTTACCATTTATAAATTTAAAATTTAAGTAAAAATAATTGATCTTAGAAAAGCGGCAGATGTACTTATTCTATATTATTTTAAGTCAATACTTAAAAGCTTCTTTGAATTGATCGAATTTACAGCAAGTTATTTGTCTCATCACGTTTAATGAAGGCCACAGAGCCGGCTTTAAAGGATTCTAGTAAAACCGAATACGATGTAAGACTTTCGCATTTACTTTAATTTTCCAATTTCTTCTCAGCGCAAGGGCTTAACCGCTTTGAACTTCGTCATTGGTGGTCTTGCGGGATGCTGTGCAAAATCCGTTATCGCTCCACTGGATCGGGCTAAAATTAATTTTCAGGGTAAATGGGCTTTATTGACACTTATTTCTAGCATCTGAGATGTGCTTTAATGTAAAGACTCTCCTCCATTTCTTCAAAAAATCATACAGAACTGCTGGCATTACTAGTTTCTGGCGTGGTAATTCGGCAACATTGACTCGTATATTTCCCTATTCTGCTTGTCAGTATGGGGTTCATGAAAAAGCAAAGCAATTCCTTGGATTAACCGATATCTCAAACAATTCTTTGTAAGAGTAATCCTAATCAATGGACACTGCGTTTTGTCTTCTCTATAAAGTTGACACGTTCTCCTCTCTCTTATATTAGATCGATAACACAAGTTCGAAGTCGGCGGTTTATCGCAGGATGCACAGCTGGGTCAGTTTCTGTAGCCTTAACGTATCCTCTTGATTTGGTTCGAGCCCGAATGGCTATCACAGAACGCGTCAGGTGCGTACATTAAAAATCTTTTAAATTGTAACTTTTCGTTATTTTTGCTTTAAACACGCTTTTTTTCTATTTTAGATATGCTAACCTCTTTGACATTGCTCGAATGACCTATCGAGAGGAGGGATTGCTTTCGCTTTATCGTGGATTTACTCCTGCTTTAATCGGCATTCTTCCCTATTCCGGTATCGCATTTTCAACTTTCGAAACTCTCAAGGAGTGGCGACTTAGTAAGTTCTAAAATCGTTTCTATCCATTTTGTTCTAAACAATGGCATCCTAAAAGTGCTTAAATTGCTACGTAATAGTGTGAAGCCCTATTCCCACCCACGCGACCCCTCCCCCCCCCTCCCAGTACCACTCGTGACAGCTCTATTTAGTAACTAATTTAATTTGACCCTAGGGATATCATGTCTGCCTTTTTGCATTTTCTTGAACTTGTTTTCAATCGTCACTGTTAGCAGAATATTGATTTGCGATGTGCTCTCATCTCTCTGTGTTCGCCACTTTTTCCGTCTCCTAGTTGATTGTGCAATTGCAGGTACAAATGGGATTTAAGATAAAATCCAATTCGCTTTTGTCATTTGCCTTTTTATTATAAGTCTGTAAGTCAAATTGTTCCTTTCCCCTCCATTTCGTGCAATAGCTTATTTTAAAGTCATCGTTAATAAGCAGCTATTTTACTTTTTTAAAGTATTTTAAGTACCTTAATTTAAAATCTGTTTTGGCCTTCTCCGAAGAAAACGCTTTCATTGGAATCTAGTGCAAATATTGTTTACATCTTTCTTGCCATTGATTTGGTAACTGGTTTAATCATTGTCATTTTCTTTTTTGCTTCTCTCATTGATGATTTTGTCCTTTTTTCGCTTTGAGCACATTTAGATTGAGAATTCACCACTTCATTATATCCTTTCTCGTAATAGTAGACAATCATTTCCTAAGCTTTAGATAAAGCAGAGGTGTGTACTGGTCATGGCAATTTCCTTTCAACGACTTGAATGGCTTAGTTTCTATGAGAGTACTTGAAATCATTTTTGCATTTCACACATCGATTAAAAATCGCCTTTTACTCGATAAAGTACACTTTGTTTTGACCATCATTGGTGTAGCAATTTTTTTTACCATTACAGATTTAGTTAAGAGAAGCTTTTAAATGAGCCCAATGATTCCCTAAGTCGTAGTCGGTCCCCTTTTTTGTCAATTTTGCCCTTAAACACTCCATCTATTAGACACTGATTTTTTCACCCACTTTCTAGAGAGGCGAATATCACCGGATGGTCGGTCTCCTCAACGTCTTCGACCTATTGAAAACCTATTTTGCGGAGCATTTGCGGGTGTCCTTGGCCAAACTGCCTCCTACCCCCTTGATATCGTTCGTCGAAGAATGCAGACAGCCGGTGTCACTGGCAAGTTCCCTTTTGCTCTACCCTTAATATAAATATAAAAAACGGATAACCACGTGTGCATAAATTCTATTTAAAGGCACTCTGGAATTTCACGCTCTCTGATCTTGTGATTTTGTAATAATTCAATCTTTTTAGACTATTTTGTTATTTTTGTAGCAAGTTGTCAAATTTTTACGCACTCAAAAATTTCAGTTGCTGGCAATCAGAAAACCTGGGCACACCATTTTATCATACGTCAATACCTTATGGCCACAATTCTCTAAACTCAATAAGATACATAAATTCCTTGAATTTAAGGTTTACTTCAAAGTTGTATCTGGTAACGCCCCTTCTATTTAACGCAGTAAAACCGATATTCAAATTCTATGATTAAGCAATGACAGATTGTTGATTTCATTGTTTTGGCGCACAAAAAATTCCTCTTTTTTTCTCTTCAGCACAATCACATTTGATCAAAGGAAGCTGTCGGTCTTAAAAGGAGCTTATTGTGCTATTTGGCATTGAATGCCTGAATCACAGAAGAAATAATAAACGATTTGTATGGCAGGGGGGGTTGTTAAGTGGCGTATTTGTCCTCTTTGTGGAACACTAGGTCCTTATTATCGATTTCGGTTGCACTGTTCCATTTATACAACACTGATGGGTCAATGAAGACATTGTTGCCATGACTATGTATTTATTTATACCAAATGGCAGGTATTTTGATAGTTTCATTAGTCCTTTAGTTGGCTTCAGGCTTCACAGAGGGGAAGGAAAATCAAAGTGAAAAAAATCGAGAGGGGTGGGGAACAGAAGAGTGTTTTAAAGATGTAAAAGGGAGACACAAAGGTAGAGAAAAAGGTGAAGTGAGTACAATAGAAGTAGTCGAATATGACATACAGTGAGGTGATGGTGTTTTGAAGTCGGAAGTCAACTGCCGATTAATAGACTTTTTTGCCGTATGAGTAAACGTTGCCCAGGGTGCACTACGTGGAGGTAAGTCTATCGCACATCCCTGCCATGTCCATGTAATGTACTAGAGTTGTAGTGTATTATTCCGAATATGCATATTTAGGGCATTTTTGCCCTCCTTTCGAGAACAATTATGCAGTTTCGAAATTCTGACTTAATTTTTAAGCCCAACTTGTGTCATAGTTTTGTCAGTACCTCCCTATGTGAGGCGAAGGGATAAATTTGACGCATTTACCTGATGAATGGTAATCTTTAAATGCATATGTGTTGAGTAAGTGCGTTAGGTCTCTTAATAATAATAATAATAAGCTAACTAAACCGATGACGAGACTTTGATTCTCACGTTAGATGGTTAAAAGAAATTGTCATTTTTTATTGGAAATTATGGTTAACACTTGGAGAGAGTCTTATATCTGAGGTCAGAGCGATTGTTGTAACAATGGGAGCGTTAAAATGGATCAAGTAGCCATCGATTCTTCAACGCTCAAGGTCATAGGCTCCGAATGTTTGCTGCGTTCGGGTAACAAGACTACTAGAACCAAATATCCACTGCAGTTCAGTTTGGCTATGCCGTTCTATGGCCTACTTTACTTGCGTTTGGGTTTAATCTAGTCCCAAATTGGGAACGATATGATTTCTTTCACACACTGTCAAAACTTATCCAGCATCTTTCAAAGCTTGCATAACGTCCTTCTATTCGTCATCTCTGGTTTTATATTAACTGTTTCTCCAATGCCTTTTACTTTCGAAGTCGATAGCACCAAGGCTTTACGCTTTACAATAACTCATATGATTTCCTTAATACCTCATTAAATCTAAGACTGAAATAATTCAATCGGCGAATGCACCTTTATATATCGTTGTTATCAGAGCCACGGTCCCACCGATTGAATCACCTGTCGGCACACCTTCATTTGTGTTAATATCTTAACCATCTGCTCGCTTGTGAAACGTCAAATTACTTTACAAAGGGGGATAGATAGGACTAGGTGGTGCCTAATTGCACTTTGTGTTTGCATGAGATCAACTGATTGTTAAATATATGACGTGTTGAGAGGCAAGGTTATAGCCTAGGCAACTCGTGTTTTCCCATCGAGTAGCCGTCCAACTAGGAACCTGCAAATAGCCACGCGATAGGGGGGTGAGGGGTGGGGGTTGGGCACTGAATTTGACCACCGTGTTTCAAGAAATATTAAGCCCCTACTGGTACTTCAATGTTTTGACTCTATTTAGCTTGTTGTGACATACTGCAAGTACTTTAGTCTCGTGTTTTTTTTTCGGATATTTTTTGCGTGAAAGTAATTATTGCTTATCTTATCTTTTTCCACTAGGCCTGAACTATCGCTGGACTTTTGCTTAAATTGAACCGATTTCAAATAGTAATAGGAAGGTCCTTACTAAGGCTCAAATTACTTAAGATATGTGGCATTATTGGGCATCCTGGTGGGTAAATTAAAGTCAGCCAACCCATCTATGAGCCAAACCCGATTGGTCATTCCACAGGAGGGGAGGGGGGGGGGGGAATTTGATGGCGGTTTCTTGCGAATGATTAATGCAGTCGCACTACTGATTTAACCCCTGCAATAGTGATTGACCTCGTATGACTACGTTTTGTTCCACAGTAGTGTACTGCGCTATTCATTGTCCAAAGGTTACGATTTGTATTAGCTTAGTCATTTTGTGATTCTTGGCTGGATTCTAGGTTATGGCTACTGATATCTCTTATCTTGTCTTTTTTTCGAACCTGTTGAGAATCGGCATGGTTAGATACTTGAACGTCTTTGCACTTACTTCTCAATATTTTTGTCCGCTGGTAAATTCACTGTATTTGTGAGCGTACAGGAAGTTTAATAATTGAGTTTATGTGTACAGCTCATCATTTTAGGCTCACAAAGAATTTGAAAGACTACTTGAATTTTTTGAAATGTCCTTTCTGTTTTGACTCTTTTACCTGGGTGCTTTTTAGTATGCTCTTGGTACGTAAAATTTAAGTAGTATTATGCTGTGAATTCGCTGTAGACACGCGTTCAATTAATTCACTGCACTTTGGCCACCCCATCGAGACCTGGATGACCATTACAGCCATAACACCCTTGACATCTTTCAACACAACTTAAAACCTCCCCTTAAATCAATAAATCGATTTGTGCTAGGTATGTACGAATGTTTTGAAATGAAGGTAGGATCACCTTTGTGGTATGCTTACTAAATTGTAAGCAATAACAATCTCTTTACCAACCATGGGTGAAAAGCATAAAATAGTTATCAAACATTTATTTATTTCAAATGGCAAGCGTTTTGATAGTTATCATTAGCCATTTAGCTGACTTCAGGCTTCACAGAGAGGAGGAGGAACATCAAAGTGGCGAAAAGTCGAGAGGGGGGGACAGAATAATGATTCACAAATGTGACAGAGACAGGCAAAAGAGCAGAGAAAAGGTAAGATGAGTACTGTGGAAGTAGTTGAATATGACATACAGTGGGGTCATGGTAGCTTGAAGTCAACTGCCGGTTATTTGACTTTTTTGCCGTATGAGTATACGTTGACCAGGGTGCACCACGTGGAGGTAGGTCTATCGCACACCCCAGTTATCAAACATTAATTCCCTCTTTCCCATAACATAGCACTTAAATTAAGGTTATGATTTTACACTTTTTACGCTTAAGTTTATGCAGTAGAAATGGCACTCTGGAAGACACAATTATAGTTCGGAATGGATGCTATGTTCAGGATTTGACTAGAACTGATTTCTTATGCAATTCCTCTACAAATTTTTTCTGGGCAAAAGAGCTGATCTCTATTTTACGCGAATTACTGATTGCCAACTCCAATAACCCGGTGCTTCAGTTGTGTTATCAGGTTGCCATTCACGTGTTTTGCTACTTATGCAAACTACTAAGCCTATCGAATTTTAGAGTGAGGTGAAATTGTCTCTACCTACTATCAAATGGTAAGTAATTTTTTTCCGAAATGTATTTTAGGCCATCCTGAATACACCCGTAGCATTGTGGGCACAATGAGGATAGTCTATCAACACGAAGGTCTATTCCACGGTCTCTTCAAGGGAGTGACAATGAATTGGATCAAGGGCCCAATAGCTGGTGCCATCAGTTTCACTGTCTTTCATCAACTTCAATCCCTCTACTCTCGTTGGCAAAACTGCTCCAAACCACCACCGATATCATGATCAACTTAATGAATTATCGGATCTCTTTTTGATTATCACTATTTTTTTATGACAAGAGAATTCAATCCAAGATGCCTTCTTTGTCATATTGCTTTTGTGTAAGTTATTTACCATTCACTTCTACTATTCGTTTCAACTAGGCCTGTATAGCATTTACATCGTGTGTACATTGTAGAAAATAAAGTAGTATTCTTAAATACGAAATTTTTACTCTTTTCTCTATTTGGGTTTGTTTCAAGCTGCACTTTTCATTTAAGGGCATTGGGAAGCACTAAGTTTTTCGATCCCACTAACAGCCATCAGCCCTGGTTGAGCTTCAAGACAATTTATATATCTCTACTCGAGAATTCAAACGCATGTCACGTTGATAATAGGGTTCAATCACAAACCCTTGGAACTACAACGGCGTGGAAGATATAGGCTGCTTTGTTTTTGAAGTCGAAGATGAATTTGATAGCGACAGGTACTGTGAGATGAACCTAGACAAATTACCTCACTTCTAAATTCATTCGATCTCCACCACACAGTGGGATGCTGGAGGTCACTCCTTACTGAGAAGAACCAGAAACCACTATTTGTGGGGGGTGGAGAGTGATTGGTTGGGTGCGTGATGGCCTTGTGCAAATTGAAAAAAACATAGTAAACGCTATCGGATAAGATCGACAAAGGACGAATAAAGATACCAATGCATTCGGAATTGTGGGGAAAATATAAGAGGCAAGGTATTGCACAAATTCCAAAAATGATTTAATTGGAATACCAGCATTTCCCAAGAAATCTTAAATCGGTAAAAGCTGGTACTGTGAATAGGTGATATGAAGTTTATGCTGTATAACAATACTTTAATGATATAATCTGCTCTAACTAACCCGATGAAGCAATTGCGTGAAACAGTGATGTGCCAGAACTATTAGAGGTGGCAATTAGGAATTGCGTATCTTTTAAACAGATGTTTGAATTCAGTGTGTGTCTAGACATGGTGAAGAAGACAGTGAACATGTGAGACAGTCATTGGATGCTACATTTCTCGAACTTCTTTAAGAACACTAACTCCATTACTGGTCAAATGCTTACAATCAGTCGACAGCAACTTCGGTCTAAACTAAAGCTTAAATAATGCACTAAAGTGAGAATGACCCAAAATTTTGAAGCTGATGTATTAAAGTTCCTGATTAAATCGGATCTTTATTCAACTACTGTGCAGTTCCACTTGAAGAGAAGGAGTAAATTTAATAGGTGAGAATTTTGATGCCACCCCATCAGCTCTCTCATTATATGCAAAATGAGTGGAGATTCACTGCCTTTCTTTGTTGATGTGACAAAGACAAATTCCCCGTTCCATCCACTAAATTGTGAGTGTAAGAAATGAACTGATTACATCAACGTTAGTGGGAAAATCAATGATTGTCTCCTAGTCAAACATCATTCCATCCCCTAGGTCAAGCAATGCTTGATCCTTGGTAAAGTTCTTCCATCTATTTGGTGGGATATACATGAAATAATCCATTACGAATAGCTTAAAGGGAGAGAACTATTAACTAAAGTCGAAGATTCTCGTTGTCATCAATAATGCAGACTAAACCAAAAATTATAAAATAAACTTACAAATTTACTCAATAGAAAAGAATTGGCTCAGTCACAAACAAATTATGAATGACCTTCGAGAAGTAAATTGAGGTATTCTATTGCAGCCCACAAGGCCGCCTGATCTCGCCTCATCTCATATCACCCTTTCAGATGCATAGAGCAGATCCTAAGAGAAAAAAAAGATTTCGAATAGAGAGTGAAGGAGAAGACCACTTGAACGAGCATTTTAATCCAAAGCCAGGAAATATTTTTCGAATATGAACTCTGAAAGAGTTGTTACTTTTGACTGAGACCATGTTATATTATGCCATATGCAAAGTTAAAAAGTGGCATTTGAATTATGCTCTTGAATTTGAAGTTTCATATTAATTCGCCTGATATAACTCAGTTTAAATCGAGCAAGTTGTCGTGAAATATCTAGAGAAGCAATTTTCGGAGATAGCAGAAGTTTCCAAAAAAGTTGACTTAATTTTTAACGCAAAATTCAACGCAAGTGATAGGCACTACTAACTATAATTAAGTAAATAGACTTTTTCCCTTAAATTTACACAGTTGAGGCGTATCCGCTAATTACAATAAGTTAGCGTACGTCTGTTTAAGACGCACATATTGACCTCAGTCACATAAACCATCTATTGCTCATACTGAGTCAGTATTTACTAATGTTGTTATAACTATAAGAAATACGGTTAGGCTATTGAAAAAAATTTAGCGTTATATTTTGGCATTGATCTTAAAGTTAAGCCTGTTTGGCATCCAAAAAAACAATGGTCTCTAATGTGCAACAAAAAGTAACCATTCTTTTAAGACATTCCGTTATTGTCTATTTTTCTTTAAACTCGAAAGAAAGGACCGCAGTCTTGTTAGAACTTAGTTGATCCATTTGAGTCTAACCCAACAGTCTACAATGGTCATTTCCGGTCGGTAAAAGAGTTGAATACCGAAATACATTCCCCTTGATCAAGTGATGTGTCGTCATCACACATCTTCATAAGCGACTGATTTGTCATATGCTACCATCTTCTTACTAAAATAAAAGACTTTATAAAATATTTGCAAAAAAGCTGTCAAGAACCTGCAAGAACTCTACCACCACTAAGGCCCTGGTTTTGGAAATAAGACATTTTAGTGGCAAATTTGAAGTGATAACCCCCATGAAACCAGTTCGAATCTTATTAGCTTTTTAACAGTGTCTCACTTGTCACAATCTACGTCAGTAATCCACCATTGCCTTGCCTTCAAATTTTTTTAAACGATTGAAATCACCCCCATCTGTCTCCCCTTTTGATGATAGCAACATTGAGGTGTTTAATTGGTTTTGGAAATTTGCCGTAGAAGGGAATTTTGATAAATGGCTTTAAACTCGTCAGCTGAAAAGGAAGTGCTTTCACTAGTCGAACTTCCCATTCACTTCTCGAAATTATGTTTTCTTTAATAATTTAACAAAAAATTTAAATTTTCTATCTTATATTTGCAATTAACATAGCTATTAGACTTGAACATTTGCCCATTTGGGTAGACCTGGTATATTTCAGTTCGAATCCACTTATGTTAGGGAAGAAGTGAGTGTAAAGTGCGAATTCACAGCGTTTTTTTCTTCATGCATTTTGAACAACAGGTTAGTGCTAGTTAGGTGTCTTATTTACCAGAAGAGGGCTGTTCTATTCTAAGACACGTAATTTAAGAGGTACCAGGTTTGGCATCACCTTGTCACCTTTTGAGATCATACAAAAGATGTTTACACATTGCTAAATTTCATAAAATTCATATAAATATCGTCTCACTTTACTCTCTCCGTCTGCCGCTCTGAACTCATATTCTCGCATCCAATATTAATAATTTATATTATATTTTACACGTTTAATTCAATACGTACCGATTTAAAAAGAATGAAAGAGAACATGTTTGTTAAGTATTTAGAAAATAATAATTTACAGCAAAAAAATCAGCGAGGTTCAAAGAGTTTTGGTAAAACAAAATTTATCGCTGAAGCGTATTGCATCAACTTGTAAGGAGTTCAAGAATGCATGTTGCACTAACCTCATTAACACTGATCTGAATTGGTGGAAATTCCGTGAGCTGCGTTCATCGCTGGAACGTTTGATTTTCCTATAACTGCGCATTTATTTTATTGGTAATCGCCCTTAATATGGCTGTCGTAATGAACAAGACGGTGTTCCTCAAATGAAATTGCCAGCCCTTTGTTCTGCTTGTTCAAAGGCTGCTAAATGCGGTCGAATCGAATACATCAATTTAGGGGTGTGCGATAGACTTACCTATACGTGGTACACCCCGGGCAACGTATACTCATACAGCAAAAAGTCTATTAATCGACAGTTGACTTCTCACTTCAACCTACCATCACCCCACTGTAATGCGTGTTCGAATACTTCCACAGTACTCACATCACATTTTTTCTAACTTTGTGTCTGTCTCTTATACAACTTTGAAATTCTCTTCCGTTCCTCCCCCCCTCCACCCCCTCTCGACTTTTCGTCACTTTGATGTTCCTCCTCCTCTCTGTGAAGCCTGAAGTCAACTAAAGAGCTAATGATAGCCATCAAAACGCCTACCATTTGATATAAATATTTTATTGGCTAATCAGTGTTTAGTCAAGTTAGTATCAAGTTGGCTCAGGAGACTTACACATCTCGAAGTGAAATTCGATTTAAAGAGAGACAGAGAGGTGAGATAAAGGGCGACTAATTCTTCCAGATTCGAGGTTAGCTCTAGCGGCAAATAAGTGAAATTTATACTAAAAACTCTCAGTATTTGCCAACATCGTCATTGTCAAATTTTGCAGGTTGATTAAACTGCCTGTCATCACTTTTAAAACGTCACATCTTAAATCCCGCCATTTTAAGGATTAGCCAGGCTTCTTAAGCTGGTTTAAACTTAGACTTTTGGCTTTAATACTAACAAAGGTTTTAAAAATCAGCGCCCCATGCCACAAGCATGCATATTTAAAGTATTTTAATAACGCTATGATAAATTGTGCTCATAGTGAGTATGCTTGAACGTATTATGCATATTATGCATAAAAATAAAACTATATGTGCCGGAAATGATCGACTGCTACCAGGGTATCTGTTTATGACCTTGACAGCTTTCCGTTCGGTAGTATCTTATGTTACAAATATAGGTATGGCTATCGAATTATTTGGAGAAAAAAATAGACTGTCCCTAGGTCCAAAGTATTCCGCCTCAACTTCTTAATCACCTTCAAACCAATGAATACGCTTTATAGTGTCTCGACGCCAAATTCTGTTTATATCTCCAGTACCTATAACCAGTCGATAAGAGGTTCTTTTTTTCACTCTCTATCTTCGGCATCTGGGGTGTGCGATAGACTTACCTCCACGTGGTGCACCCTGGGCAACGTATACTCATGCGGCAAAAAAGTCTATTAACCGGCAGTTGACTTCAAACTACCAAGACCCCGCTGTATGTCATATTTGATTACTTCCAAATTACTCGCCTCACCTTTTTTATACCTTTGTATCTGTCTCTTTTACATCTTTGAAGCAATCTTCTTTACCACCCCCCCCCCTTCTCGACTTTTTTTAACTTTGATGTTCCTTCCCCTCTGTGGAGCCTGAAGTCCACTAAGGGGCTTATGATACCTACCAAAACGGCTGCCATTTGATATAAATAAATCTTCGGCATCTCGTCCACGTCCTGCATTTGTAAGCCTACTTCTGCCTGTGTTGCCTTCTTCGTGATAGTCGTAGCTCTACAACCGTTTGATTCATTCGTATAGCGCTCCACTGCAACACAACCACCCGCAGTCATGCAAGTACATACGATGGCCTTCCCCCCCCCACAAACCGTAGCCCCGCTACACCTTGTCTTAGTACTGCCTTTTGGTAATAGGCCACAAAGTCATTGCGCTAAAGCGTATAGTAAATAGAATCGGATTTATTGAGTAGATAAAAAATTGCGCACCTCACTAATTTTAGCAAAGTATGCATGGTTCATCGATTGGGTAGTTAATGCCTTTTTTAAACAAGCTAGGTAACATTCCAAATTGCTACCTCAATTTCCTATATTACTGAAGAGGCTAACTGCGCATTCCCCTTTATGTAAGCTCCCAAATGAAGCGTAAATCAACTTTGAAGTTAGCAATTTTATTTATTTTATCATAATTAATAATTCAATGTACACTTTCTCCCATCCATATTCAGGTACACACACACACACACACACACACACACACACACACACACACACACACACACACACACAC